CGCCGGGATCCCGGAGGAGCAGGGGCTGTCGGCGGCGGACGAGTCGCTGGAGGAGAAGCTGCGGAGCCTCACCTTCAGGAAGCAGGTGTCCTACAGGTGGGTGCCGGCCGGCCGGGCGCCTCTCGGAGGGTGGGGAGGCGGCAGGCGCGTCCGGCGGGGCTGCCCGCAAGCCGCTGCCTGGCCGCAGCACCGCCGGACCCGCCTGACACTTAAGGGGCTTTTTTCGTCATCCCGAAGTCTGAAAGAGCTCTCCCAGATAAGCATTCCCTTAAGCCGGCGAGCGAGCTGCTCCCAGCCCTGCTGCTCCCGTCAGGTTTAGGGCGCTCCTCTGGCGCGGCACGCCAGGGGACATGGGGAGCGTGACGGGGCATGCGGGTGAACTTCAGAGTTACTCCGAGTCAGAGTCGGGGCTCTTGCCCGCCTGGCTGGGGATTAGAGTTTGCCCTTTTCCGTGAAAACACAGCCGCCCGTAATCCCGGCGCCTCCAAACGCTCGTTAAGGGGATGGGAAAAACCTTTCTGGCGGCACCGCTGATCCCGGGAGGGGTTTGTCTGTGGGATTCTCCCGGAGTGCAGTGTCCCCTCCCTGCCTGCTCCCCACCCGCGCCCGTCGCCGTTGCGTAAGCCCCAGCGGCTGATAAGATGGGGGGGCTGCTGTGCCCGGCACCCCACGCGTGGCTGGGGCCACCAGCGGGCAGCCACCGGGTGCCACATGCCCTGCTATGGCCTGGGCAGGACGCTGCTTTCTTAATCAGGGTCTTCCGTTTTTATGGCTGTGCATTTGCCTCACGTGCCTGATGCCAAGTAAATGTTCCTCCTGTAAATACACCTGCACGAAGGGGCCCTCGGTGGGGCTTGTCTGCTCTTCTGTTACCAGCTAGGAGCTGCTAATTGCCAGCATCTGCCCAAACAGATTGCTGTCTGAGAAGGTCCATGCCAAAAAGTTTTTGAATCTTACCTAATTCTAGTTGCAGAGCCCCTGTGGAGGCAGCACACCATCAGTAACTAATGTTCTAGTGTGCTTAGGGATGAGCCCTCTCAGCTGGGAGGACAGAAAACACAGAGCTGTTACTTGTCCCTGCAAAAAAAGGGTGTCTCTAGCCCCAGGAAAATTAGCTGAAGACTCTCCCCAGCCATGGGGATGCTTAATGTGCTGTCAATTTACAGCTGGGATAACTTAGGAGCTGGTCTAAGCTCTGCATGTGGCAGGGCTTAAAGATGATGTAATTAAACACTCTTCATAGCTGAAGTTTTATATAATACTTATGTGTGAAGAGAGACTTTCCCCATCGGGGCTGACGGTCCCAGCAGTGAGTGTGAAGTTTGAGATGATTCATCCTAGACTCAGTAAGGTGAGCGATGTGAAAATGAAAACTTACTGGATACCTCTGAAACAAACATTGCATCAGTCAGCTCTTGGTACTTTTGCATATCTACTCTGATGGTTTTCTTAGTTTGTGCCATTTAGGGGCAAATCCCTTGCAGGTAAAGGCAAAGTCTGAGGTGAGCTGCTGAAATAAAGTGGCTGCTAACAGCACAGGTTTGCTCATGTGTTTGCTCTTAGATCAGAAATCAAGGAGTTTGCAGTAAGTCTTCTGCCTTTTTTAGGGGTGGCATGGGGTAAGGAAGAGGAAATAGTAAAATCTGTTTCTAATGTTCTGCTGTCTAGATTGTCTAGAAGTGTGTTAAACTTTTGGGTAGTCTTGAAGTTTTCTGCATTTATTTGTAAGGGTTTCATATAAGATGCTTTTAGGAGGAAGTGTAGGGGTTTTTTCCCTCCTTCTCCTCTCCTTCATCTATGCAAGCATATAACAAGTCCTGAACTTTCAGATATAAAAGCCTTTCCTTAAGCATCTCTTGATGCTTATCACTCATTGTACTTGACTTAAGGTATGTGCAAGAAAGTACATTTTCTTTGCATCCATGGATTTCCACACCTTTTCGTCATTTATGGCTGGTTACCTACAGATAATATTCACTTTATCATTTATCCATAATGAGAACAATCTGGATAGATAGAAGAGTATAAAACTTCCACAGAGGACCTGCACTGAGTTTTCCACACCTTGCAACCCCAGCCTCTTTAAATTGCTACCATTTCCTTCAGTAAATTATGGTGCTGAAATACATTTGCGAATATAAATGGCTATATTAGGTCCAGGAAAAATTATTTGTATTGGCACTTGGACTCCTTTACCAACTGACACAATAGCAATTATTCAAGGCTTCATAGAGCCTTTCAAACAGCTCATTTAGGGCTCTCTATGCAGGTGCATGACATTGTCATACACACCTGTAGAGCTGTTTTTATACATTCAGGAAAAAAAACCCCAACAGTTGGAATGTGCTTAAAATAATAAAGGTGCATGAAAATGCATATAAAAGAATAAATCTATTGGTGGCAGTTGAAAGAGTGAAATGGGAGGTCAGGGTATTCTTACAGGGAAAAAAGAAGAAAAACTTCTGCTGTACCAATGTTATTAAACAGTTTGCCTGAGTCTGGGCTTAAAGTATTATCTTCTTTTCTAATTTGTTTTTAAACAGCAAATATCCTCAAAGTAATAAACCTCTAATTAGCTGACGTTGTTGCATGCAAGGAACTTTTTAGTTCCTCTCGAATTTTACCAAAACTATGAGTAACACGTTCAGAAATCAATGCTTTGTGCCCATGTGGCCCATAGCTTGAAATGCAGAAACTGCTGTATTAAATACATTTAAACAGCAAATATCCTCAAAGTAATACATCTCTAATTAGCTGACGTTGTTGTTGCATGCAAGGAACTTTTTAGTTCCTCTCGAATTTTACCAAAACTATGAGTAACACGTTCAGAAATCAATGCTTTGTGCCAATGTGGCCCATAGCTTGAAATGCAGAAACTGCTGTATTAAATACAGCACGATTTTGTGTATCAAATACCCATGTAGGCGTTCTTGTCCCCCAGTCAAACCAGTAGGAGGAAAAACTTGCTGTAAATAACACAGGGGAGCCTGAAATTTCCCATGACCTTGCTGTGTTCCGTGCCACATCCACCTTGCTCACGGTCCGCCAGGAGCTCCGCTCGGAGCGGGTCTGTGCCCGCTGTGCCATCATCGGGGACACACGCACGGTGGGGATGTGCCACCTTCCCGAGCTGGTGCCTTTAGTGCGGCCATTCCGTGTCCGTGGCTCCAAGACCCCTGGAGTGGGTGGATCTTCCTTGGCCCCGGAGCGCCGGGATCAGCGCAGGACCCGCCGGGCAGGCGGAGGGCACGGGGGCTGCAGACAGACAGAACCTTCGGTCCCTTGCTGAGGGGTCCCTTGCCGCGCCTGTCGCTGTGACAGCCGAGTGACAGCCAGAGAAATGTCCCTTTTCAGGGAGAAATCTCCCTTTTCAGCTCTTGAACGAGGCCGACCCACCCAATGGCTGGGCGCTGACATCAGGATGTCAGCAGCTAAGCAGCAATTCTTAGCCCTAATTTATTATTTACCCTGGAGTTAAATATCTTAACGATGTTTTAGCTCTTCTGCTGAAAATCTGAAACATTAGCTTACAAAATGAAAAACTTTTTTTTTTTTTTTTTTTTAAACTGATAAACCCAAAAGTTTAGTTTCCTGCTCCGCAGGGAAAAGATTGGCAAATGAAAACTGAAAAGTGAATTAAACATGTACATCTGCCAGAGAGAAATGCCTTTTACAGTTTGGTTCTCAGAATAGTATTTACCCATGCGTTTCTAGACCCAGCAGAATATTTACAAGATATTGGAACAGAAAGCTGTAAGGTAATTTTTTTCCCTTTAATTTTTATTATTTTGTCATTGCAAAGTCTGTGAGGAGCCTTGTGCTGCCTTTTAGATTAAGTAGAAGTTAAAAGTTGCTTTCCTGAAGTAATTTGTGATATAAAGAGAACTTCAGGTTATACCAAAGATGGATGCTTAGTAAGAATATGCAATAAATATTCAATAAAAAGCTAAGGTAAGAGGAAACCTGGAAAAGAAAGTATTAGCTGGTAGTTTCCTCTAAGTATTTGCACCTCTAAAATCTAACCTGAAATGCAGTCTTGTCATTTAATTTAGAGAAATAGTAAAAGTAATAAATAAATGAATAAAAACCCCAACCAACAAAAGATCATCCCTTAAAATCAAAACAACACAACCTAAAGAACAAGCTAACAATCAATAGAGCAAATGGTTTTTAATTTCTTTATTAATTATTATTTGGCATTTCAGGGAATCTTGCTTAGTGGCATTGTAAATAAAAATAAAGTTGTAATTTTTAATGTCCCTCTTGTGAGAGCTCAAGTGACGTTTGGCAAACACTTGTCACCAGAGAATAGTTTTCCTAAAGTAATGCAATTTCATTTTGACCAGGTCGAGAAATCCTGACTGAGGCAGTGGGTGGCAGGCTTTAGAAGTTTTGCTCCTCCTTGAGCCAGGAATTTCCAAATGTGGGGCCGTAATGAGCCATCTCAGAGTCCTGTGCCGCTAATTGGCAGCGTCCTGGCAGCCCGGTGCTCCTGCCTTGTCTTGGGCCAGGCAGGGAATTCCAGCAGGGAGTCATGCACTGCCCTTCTGGTAATGAGGCGGTTGAAGGCACGCTTTCCTTTGCTCCCTGAGTCCCCTGGGCACCCAGCTCCACTCCTGGAGGAATGAGTCACTGTGAACAGTCACCACCTCAAGGAGGTGGTTTGAGTTTCTTTGGCTGAAGTTTCTGCCCCGCTTGCCAAATGGATCTGTTTGGGATGTGCCTTGTGTGCTTTCCCGACCCTTCCTCTGAGAGCAGAAGCCAAGAATGGAGCTGGCCTCTCCCCCTGCACCATCAGCAGGAACTGCTTGCCTGTCCTGGCAGTAAGTAACAGGAGTTATAATTAGAGATGGTTTTGTCACTGCGTTTGAAGGGGGAAAAGTTATGGCAAGGAAATTCTGGGAAATCCTTATTACACAAACCCTGCTGCTGTTGATGGAGCATTTAAGTTCCTGAGACTACAGATGGGGACCAAAGTAGAAATGCAAGCTTGGAAACATCCTCATTTTTTTGTTCTTTTGTTTTCAGACACGATAACAGTCATAAGGCATGCATCACTTCTCAGAAAATATTAAATATAGACAGGATAATAGAGG